CAAATCAGTTTCCATCACACACCAATGGCATATGTCCGATACGTCAAGCAGAGGATCGATGAGTAATAATGGCACCACGTCAATTCGCGAACAAATCTTTCACACATTGTTGTTTTAAGCTGAGAGCCAGACGTGATCAACTCCAAATCCCCCTTCCGAATTCTGCCAAGGCAAAAGCTTTTTCGCAGGAGCAACAATCAGCACAATGAACAACTGTGTTTTTAATATCATTTCATCAAGCTCGGCAAAGCACCCACGCATTGATGATCAGGAGTAGGGGCTGCTTTACTTTCAAGTGCGGACTGCAGGATAGTTGATATTTTCCCTCTTTGTACACTTACAGAACTCTTAGTTTTGACGAAACTTTGAACTTTTCTTAACATGGGGCATTTGCATTTTGTTTTCACTTTCTCAGAAAGCCTTTGTTATGTGCTACTATTTTCGCGAGCTAATAAAAACTTTCTTTTTTGACAGCTATCAAATGACTGTCAAATTGCGCATCTTCTTTCAGTCCCTGAAACAGGAAGAAGCTATATAATAAACATCTTATTCGGCAGAGTATGTGAATAATGGATTGCTGGGGTCATCTGTGGGCCTGGTCATGTTTCGATTTTGAACAGATGATGGAAGCTTGACAAAATTCATCCATGGAACAGGAGTGATGGATAAGTGGAAATGATGGGAAAACAGGTACTTTGTTCCTTTACTGCTGAAAAAGGTGTTTAGTCTAGTCTCTTTTTTAAGGCAACAGTTTAAGTACTTGACAGGAAACGCCTTATACAACAACTGTGTCTGGTTAACCTATTTCAACATGTACTTTGAAGCATCTGCATTCAGGGTAAGCTTTCATATGAGGTGTCCAGAAGATGTCTGGTTAGGTCTCAGAACCACAATGATACATAATCAAAATGGTTTCCAGCAGACGTTAGTACGCTTTTTATATTGAATGTAGACTCTATACTTTTGGGTTTTCAGAGGCTATGCGTAGTGTTATTTTAAGAAACTTTGAACAGTGTCATTACCCTCTTTTCAGTGCCACTCTTATTGTTGTATTACACTGTGAGTTGGTTTAAAAAAGCATTCAAAGTAACCTAGATTGTAAAAATCGTGGGATCAGACACAAGGTAACACCCTTTGAACCAAATGTAAAGTTGTTCCAATGAGACGTGGTGTAACAATTGAAATGTTCAAAGGGCAGTGGGGAATGATCTGCCCTATTTCAGCAAGAAGTATACGACAACTACAAAGCAAAATTCCCCTCTTGTTTACTATGACAATACACTCGGGTTACTTACATACTTGTCTTACTGCAACAAGTGGCATAAGCATGTTACTAAATTGAGGGTGCATACTGTACCAGAATTTATGCACTGGAGAAACCGGAAGAGTTAGTAAGTGACCTCTAAAGCAAAAACGTTCCTTACGAACAAATGCATGGCTGTTATACTGAGAGTGGCTATATAGTTGCATCATAACATTATTTTTCCTTTCAAAGAATGCCTGTCTTCAAGTATGCTTTGCAGTCCTGGTTTCGAATTTTGTATGATGCCAAATATTTTCGCTTTCCTTGTTCTTGTTTATCAAACTTCATTTCAAGCATGTCCTGCAAAAGTTGATAAAATAAAATCAACAACTCTTAACAATTACTGCGGAAAGCTTTCTTCTACTCCTATTATTAACTTTAGAGAGGTTCGAGCAGATTCGAAGTCTTCATAAACAAAGTTAATGGGTACGAAGCATACCAGCTGAGAGACATTCTTCTCTGTAGAACTTGTGGTGCCATTCTCCGTTCACTTAACCAGGACACGGCCAAGAGTGAAATTATTGATGTGAAGTATATGAAATAATTCATTATTGATAACCTAAAATCATCGCAGGCGCTGCTCATAATGGATTGGGCAATGAAGTTCATTCCAACCAACTTTCGCATTCCGGAGACCCCTGGGAATTCCGAAGGAGTAGGACGCTATTTTAGTGCTCGGCCAACGACACATATCATTGATTGCTTTAAGCAATGCCGCTCAAATGAAAAGATAGGCCAGAGTTGTGGTCGTCGAATGCTTCTTCCCCCGAAGAAAAGAAAACATGAGAAAAGAATCATAGTGCACTAGAAAGTGAGAGCGAAGACAACATTTTGAAAGTGCTGAATATAGCAGATAATTTAGGATCTAAAGTCGACCTAATTTTGAATAAATTAAACAAGTTGGATAGCATCGAAGTGCGTCTAGAGAAACTGAACAAGTCAGTGTCCAATATAGAAGAGTCCTTCGGAATTATTGAAAAAGATGTAGAAGCCTTAGAGAAGAAAAAACGACCCAGATATTAGTGACCTACAGCGAGATGTGAAAGGTTGACGACATGATGTGGACAATCTTAAGATACAACTTATTTACCAAGAGCACTATAGCAGAAGAGAGAACTTCATGTTTATTGGAATTCAAGAAGAGGTCGTTACAAAAGATGGCAAAGAAAATAGCACGGTCAGTAATCAAAACACAGAGAACACGCAAGAGATCATCTACAATTTTATGGAACAAGAGCTACAAATCCAAATGCTCGAACCAGAATTGATTTCCAACTCGTTCACTGGGTAAGGAAAGAGAGAGGTAAGAAATTGCGCCCCATCATCGCAAAGTTCCTACCTTACTGCTACCCCAAAGAAGTCCTATTTAAGGCGAGGAAGTTGTTCAAAGACAAGGCTTACAGTGTCTTTGAAGAGATGCCAAAACAACTTTATGAATTAAGAAAATCACAATTCAAAAAATGCAGAATGCGAAAGAGAGAGGTGACCAGCGTACTTTAGTAAAAAATATCCAGATACGTTTCTCATAAACAGTAACTGTATCCTGTTAAAATAACTCTCACTTTCCCTAATATGCGAATATGCTAAATAACCATACGTTCTATATTCTAACCACCTCCTGTAAGCGACCACTTTGTCGTGCACCAAGGGTGGTCACTTACGAGAGAGTTGATTGTAAGCAGAAGATTTTTTCCAACCAACAAGGACATCTGGAACAACATGTATCGAGAATGATTGGCCCTCCAATTTTCTGCACTGGATCCAAAACATTAAGATGCCCTCACTGGTCAAAGGAAAAAAGATTCCCCTGGTGATGCCTTCTTTTACACACCTTATTCTAGAAACTCTGATGACAATGAAGAAATGACGATGATAGCAGGATAAAAGCCCGAGAAGACAACCCACCGGACGAGGTTCCTGACCCTGCATCATCAGCTTCTAAGGACCAGACTGCTGTTTTGTCATCAAACAGTTAAGCAGATGGAGCTGTTAAGAAAGTATACCAATGAAATATGTTTGATGATGCCACTTATCACACCACAAAATTTACCAATTATCCTTAATTTGGCTCACACATAACTTTAAACTACAAGCAGCTGACTGGCAGCCCTGCCCTGTGAAGGTGTAGTTTCATTTTTATGTTGGTAAGTGTGACATATTATATCAGCTTATGTGTGGGGGCAAAACTAGTCTTTGAAACGAGCCCATAAGATGGTCACGTGATAATTTTCAGATGTGTGATGTTGACAGCTGTCAACTCAACCTCATACGGATGGCTTACACAACTGACAGGCTAGTGTCAATATTCGTGCAAGATCTAAAGTGACACTTGACATCGCCTTAGATGTAGTGGGTGTACGGACGGTCGATGTTCATACGCTACGTCATAACCAAACTTTCTTACCCATGGTGCGCGCTTTGAGCATGCAAGAGCTGCGCTACGTAACAAATGCAAAGAATGAGCCTTTCCAATGTTGAATTCCTAAAACAAGTGTTTCAAGAAAGAGAGATACGCGAGTTAAAATTGGCTGTGTGTGGTTAAGGTGAAGAATACCGGTTCGACAAGATCGTGAAACACCTTCTGGTACCCATTGTTTCCTGGTTTGATTGGAATGAAGGCTAGAGATTCAATTTAATGTCAGTCAACAATGCCCTACAAGGTCAGGTTATCTGGGTGGCGCAGGACTAAGAAAAAAGTAAACGTGCAGTTAATACAAGGATCCGTCTGATGATGTAGCCGTTGTATTACAAGGAAAGAAAAATTGCAAGAATGAAGTAGTGACTCCCTGGTGGCGGGGTCCTTAGAAGTGCTTAATCATCCTGCAGCCATTCAGTGAAAGTCAACTATCAATCCCTCTAAAGGCAAAAGGTACGAAGTTGAAGCATATCACAAAAGGTTCAATGACACCTGGGGCAGGAACAAGATCAAGCTTGGTGGAGGTAACGGTCAACAAAAATGTGGCACGAAAGAAAGGAGCCAAAACTAAGTACCCTTTTAGACCTTCAAATTCAGAAACTACAGAACATGCCCTTGCGTAGGAACTGTCGAATAATGGTGCTGCAGGCTACTTGTACAAGGAAACCCATCCCATCGATAATCTTTTTGTATTGCATATCCCTCCCAAGGAAGCTAAACTGAGAGTAAAGCACCAGTGCGGGTTCTCTTTTGAGCAAGACTCGTATTCCTCATATTCCAACGGAGTAGCTAAGTTTATTTTAACTACTACGTGACAATTTCTTGAAAAAGGTTCTGAAGGTGTCACCATGACAATGAAAGTTATGACCATATCCTAGAACCCACTGCAAACGAACTAGCAGTACAAAGAGAAAACTACCCAATTACAAATTATCTAGTTTAAGCTGAAATACTATGGTTTTGCTTATGGGTTATTTGAAATAATGTTGAAAGACAAGCAGTATGTTAGAAATACCTCAGAACTCACGGCAGAACTATTTGTGAAGGTTTCATGACCCCTAAACAAGTCATATGCAGAAGGACATTATATCCAAAATAAAGAAAAAAAATTGAGGGTGAGGGTGCTATTTGCAACTTCAGCACTTGGCATGGGGGTTGATGCTCCTTAAGTAATCAATACCATCCACATAACACCACCGAGTAGCCCTAAGGCCTACGTGTGATTGGTTGTTCATACTACTTGACACTTCTGTAGATAAGATTGTAGCTGTATAAGACTTTGAGGGAGCGGAATTTATTTCGCCATTTTCTTGCATCAATTACCTAAATCAATCAAGTAATCAAAATGACAGTGTGACTGGCCGATACCAGGGCCTTTTCCCAGCCATCTCCAACGCCAGGGAAAAGCGCCTTGGGGACAAGGTTGTGCATTGAGCAATTACTCGAGCGGATGACTGTATTGATAGTGTTGGAAACATCGAATATTGATAGATAAACGATTTTGGCAACTGTGCTAGAGAGACTAACTAGATAGACGCATGTTAAGCACGAACGAATTTCTAATTGACAAATAGCTTGGAACTGAATAGATATAACAAGGGTGGAAGGGAATGGATGATGGTGATGGATATGGATAAGGTGACTTTCTCGGACGGGTTCAGGATCTTTCTACATAAATTTAACGGTACTGGAATATCTGATGTAGTAATTACTACTGGTGTCTCTAAATTTCCCTCATATTGGTTGGTCGACCACCAGCATGACAAACTCAGATACACAAGTTGAATCTTTCTGTAACATCTTAAAGGACTCTTTTCTTATGCAAATGAATAGGCTTGTTGCAAGAAAGGTATATAACTATAGAAAGTCTGATTTTGATGGTTTGAGAACAACTCTGTCTTGCACACCTTGGGAGGCCTGTTTTTCGGCTTATGATGTGAATTCTAGTGTAGAAAGTTTCTAAGATTTATAATTCGCAGCAGTTAATCAACATTAACTTTCTTCGGCCTTTTTAAATCACTACTTTTAAGATATATGGCTGAAACTCATTTTTAAATGCTCTTTCAGACTTCCTGCTAAACTAATTTTCCAGAAAAAAAGTGTTTTCATGTTTACAGAAAGTTGATCCTGGGCTCTTTAATCATCATATTAAAAATTCTTATTGATTCTAACTAGGCCATTCAGCAAGCTTGAAAAAGTACAATGTACGATTTTTGAGCAGATATGCTCACATGCTCGGCAATCAAATAGTTGAGATCATCAAATTTCAACAATGTTCATTTCTTTAAAAGGAAATGCACTGCAAGAAATCAGTTAGTAAACTTCAAAACCTTTTCCTTTTCAATATTGCTAAAAATTTCTGCAGTGCTTTGGGACAATCACCACTCAAAACATTTTTTGGGTGTGATGCACTATGTAACAGATATCTCTGCCTCTAAACAAAAGGAAAATTATACACTTGAGAACAAGGAATGGGACATGGGGACGAGGAACAGACAAAACAAGANCACTGCAAGAAATCAGTTAGTAAACTTCAAAACCTTTTCCTTTTCAATATTGCTAAAAATTTCTGCAGTGCTTTGGGACAATCACCACTCAAAACATTTTTTGGGTGTGATGCACTATGTAACAGATATCTCTGCCTCTAAACAAAAGGAAAATTATACACTTGAGAACAAGGAATGGGACATGGGGACGAGGAACAGACAAAACAAGACACTACTAGAGCTGTATGGCGTTTATAGCTTTAAACCCAGTCTAATTATAAATACATTAATCTGGAGCTCTATCTGAGCCGTATCCAAGCCATATTACTAACCCTTTTCATGACAATATTTAACTCTAACCTCAATTACAACTTAACAAGAAAAGCCTCATCCTAATCCTATCATATTTTGAACTTTAGAGAAAATATCCTTGATTGAGCTCATTTCACATCCCTCATTTCCACTTTCCTGTTATGTATTCTTGATTTTAGTAGTAAGCCATTGGGGTGTTTCCCACGGTAAATCACAACAAAGACTGATCTTTTTTCGCTTATATCCTGTTATCAAGATGGCTTGTAAATGGAGAGTTTCAGTTGTTGCTGTACTATTTATTGTTGGTACTGATTGCTGTGATACAGCAAAACCACATTCATCCAGCAAGTGACAGTGTTTTTGCTGTTCTTCATTCAAGGAAAGTTTGACGTACCTGTGCACAAATGAACGTGTATGCAAAGAAATACATTAGTATGACTTTGGACATGAAGAAACCCAATTTGTCTTGGGAAAGAGACCACACCTAAACTGGTTTTGTTTTGTTTTCTTTAAGGAAAGGACATAAACAGGTTCTCTGTGTCAGCTCTCATTTTAAAAAGCTTTGACAAGGCGAAATCTGGTGGCTGTAAAATCGTGCTACTAACAGTTATGCCGTTTTCAGTGAAAGGGAGACACTTTAAGTGACCAATAGTGAATTCAAATATTTTCGTCACATTGCTAAGTTTACCAATAAGGCGGTTCCCACACCGATCTCAACATTAGCTTGACCTAATTGACTTTAGCAAGGATCCAGTTAAGCACTTTATGGCAAAGGGGATAAGCACATCTTAACAGTTGTGGACGTATTTAGCCGCTTCCTATGCCTATGTCCCATGGAATAAAGTCAACCGACCATGTTGGTTGACTTTTGTGACTGATATGACATCAACACAGATCACCTGATCAGAAAGTGACTTAGGCCTATCAACCACAATCTCAGGGAAAAGTGGAATGATTTTATTTTATTAGCCTTGCCCTAAAGAATACAGAGACTCCATTATTAAGAAAGCTAAAAAGCACTTGTATAGCTTATCTCAGCTTAAACGCTCTGGTTTTGATACCCGTGAGTTAGTCCAGTTTTTCTGCACTTGTATTCGTCCGACCACAGAGTACGCGTGTTCTGTCTTTCATGACAGCCTCCCGGTGTACCTCTCCAACGAACTTGAAGGAGTACAAAAGCGGGCTATGCACATCATTTTTCCTCTTTGCTCAGACAATGAGGCCTTGGTTGAATCAGGCCTAACTAAACTTTCAGACCGCCGCCAGGAACTAGTTGATAAACTGTTTAAGAATGTTTTACAGAACGAACAGAACAAGCTCCATGAATTTCTTCCTGCTCGCAACACATGTACCTTTAACCTAAGAAATATGCGAAAGTTTAAGCCAGCTTTTAAGACAAACAGATTTCGTAGTAGTTTTATTACCTTTAACGCCCTTAAGGCTTGAACAGTTTTAGTAGATTTTTAAACCTCTTCTATATATTTTTTTAGAACATATATATAGTGTCCTTATTTGCTGTTTTAAATCACTTGTAGTCTTTTTAATGTAATTATCAATATTCAATTTTTTGTAAATAATCGTATAATACAACTTTTAGTTGCAAATCGGTTATTAATAAACTATCTATCTATCTATCTGTCTATCTAGAAAAAAAACACTGAAGATATACAAACAGTAGTAATAAGAATGTAACAATACACTAAAAATAACTTAAATATTTGGGCAGAGACACCGCAACAGCTAAAGCCAATTACTGCAGACCCAAAAAATATAAGGATATAAAAGTAGCAATTTAAATGACATGCAGCAGCTAATTTCTTGGTCTAAAAACCTGGCTGTGTTACATTTCAAACAAATACGTTTGAAGCTAGTAGAGGAATAATGGGGGTTCTGGGACAGAGGATCCGGCAAATGAAAAATCCCATACAAATCCGTCTAATTTCAGGGACAAAGGATCCAGTGAAAATAGGCGGATCCTATAAGGATCCGCCAACCACCCCATATAGTCTCCTCCATCCCATATAACCGTCCAGCATTCCATGTAAGTGTTTCATATAGGGTTCTCATGATAGTGAACCTATCTCATACATTCCTTCTAAATTACCATGTATGTATTTCTGGGACAGAGGATCCCGTGAAAAATAGGCCGATCCTATTAGGATCCACCAACCACTCCATATAGCCACCCATCATTCTGTCATATAAGTGTTCCATTTGGGGTTCTCATAATAGTGAACCTATCTCATACATTCCTTCTAAATTACCATGCGTGTATTTCTGGGACAGAGGATCCAGCGAAAATAGGCCGATCAATAGGATCCGCCAACCACCCCATTTAGACGTCCCATATAGGCGTCCATATAAGTGTTCCATATAGGGTTCTTATAATAGTGAATCTATCTCATACATTCCTTCTAAATTACCATGTGTGTATTTCTGGGACAGAGGATCCGGTGAAAATGGGCAGATCCTATTAGGATCTGCCAACCACCCCATATAGACGTCCCATATAGGCGTCCTATAGGGTTCTCATATAGTCAACCTATCTGCTTCTAAATTAGTATGTGTGTATTTCTAACACACTACTCCCGTTCATATATTCGATTTGTGTTAAATGATTGCGTTTCAGGATTTACGTTTTGGCAGATTACTCACATATCACCACGTGTGTTTGATCACTGCGTTTATCATTGCATGTATTCAGTCTCTTTGTGTTTATAGGTTATATACTAGCGGTTTTCATCTTTAGTTTATTAATCAGACACTCATATGTGTGTAGACAGTAAATTTCAATGAGTCACCCACTTAGTTCAGTCTTTTCTTACTCTTATCACTTGGGTATGTTCAATCATGTTGAATCATTATGTTAATCCATGGGTCACTCGCGTGGACTTAATCATGCTTGCGACTCACTCCTCTCTACAGCAGCAGACAGGGTGAGATAACATGTGTGGGTTAAAACTCAAGTTACATCTTGATCTCTGAGTCTTAGACGAATAAAGAATTCTTAAGTTTGAGGAAGCGTGTCACACAATGTCTTTGTAAATTTATATTTAAAGTGTTTTAGCAGTTGCACGGTCCAAATCATTTCGCCAAACCCTAAATGCAGTGAAACACTGCAACTGAATTTTCTTAAATGTTGAAAAACACTGCAATGTAGCCATACATTTCCTTCTAATTTTTTATTTTTAGGGCACGGCTCAATTCGTTTCACAGTTTCTTAAATGCGGTAAAACACTGCAACTTAATTTTCTTAAATGTCGAAAAACACTGCAAGTTAACTTGATTACTATAAGACCGCCCTAAGGCCCTAAGACCTCAAGACAAAAAAAAATTCTTAAGGCCCCAAGGCCCCAATGTCCCAAGACAAAAAAATTCTTAAGGCCCCAAGGCCCCTAAGGCCCTGAGAAGCTTATTTGCAATGCAAATCTAAATAGAAACCAATCACTTTTGCATCACTGCCATTTGCGTTAAGACTTCATTACGTCAACATGCTTTACTGTACAGACGTGTGTGTCCTATCTGTGGAAAGCATGATTTACTAAAGCTAAGCGAACACTTACATCAGGTTCATCATTTGTCCTGCAATAAACGACAGCTGTTATGACTTTGGGGGAAGACAATCCATTCACTGCTTTGATATGAGCAAACAATTTTTGAGCCCAGCTCCAAACAAATCTATTGAAAAAGGCTACTCATACTATAAAAGCTAACGTTGTTTAGTGTTCTGATAGAGTTCCCAAATTAAACTTACTTTGATTTAGAAGACGTTTTGGTCTTTCGACACTTGAGCTCAACCATTTCCTCAGCGATACGCATATTCTTTGTTGGATGCAAAGCTCCATGATGTCACACACTAGATGATGTCAGGGTCGACACCATCGCGATATATGCAAGTATACAAGTATAGATGGGCCGGCGAACTTTGCAGGTCACTAACACCATGAGTGGTACACGCACTTTGTGCATGACCAGATTACATACCTCTTGAGGTGAGGTGCTGGCTTAGCTTGGAAAAAGCTACTGTCTTTTACACTATCAGCAAAAAAAATAGTAAAATTATCAGCTTATGCTAAGAAAAGAGTTACCAAAATCGATAGCAGCGTTCATGTTACACAAATTAGTTTTCCTTAAAGTTCCATCTAAATAAGTAAGCCTATTTTCCCCAAAACTTCAATATATCAATTTTACGCAGGAAGCAGATAAAGAGTGAGAACATTTGTGACTGTGAAAGGCAAAACGAACTCTAACAGGTTATCTGTTTCAAGAGGATAAGCATTTGTTACCTGTTTGTCATCCATACAAATGCTGTAAAAAAGCCAATTGATCAACCATTCCCAAAAAATTAGCATCCTTCCAAAAGGTTTAGATTATAAAAAAATTGGCATCTGTTTGAACCATTAAGACAATCTGTTCGACCACAAGAGTTGCAATATCTTTTTGAACGATTTTTTAGCTGCTTGCCCATACTTGTTATAATTTATAGTTCAAGCAAGTTTTTACGAAAGTATGTGGTAATGAATAAAACGATTTATCATCAGTTTTAAAGTGGCTGCACCTGCAAAAGTAATGTTTCCTTCATAGCGGCGTTAGGTTACAAGGCTTTACAAACATCTGAGGTCCCCTTACTATTGAAAAAATCTCAGATTGTATCATGCACTCGGCAAAAAAAGATGTTTTGAACGTATTGCTTATATCATAAGATGAAAGCAGAATTGAAAAGCTAAACATGAATTTTTAAAAAGCACATACCTTAATAATTTTCGTGAGTGAACTACACTAAACCATTGTCGTCACCCAGCGATGAGACAGAGATGAACCAAAAAAGGCTTTCCTTTCTCAATCACAATAGAAGTGTTTCTCGAACAGCCCAAAAACATAACTATCCAGCATCGACTGAAATAATGGATCAACATTACCAATTCTGGTCAATTCAGAACGATTTACTTCTTTAACGATCTGTTCAAACTGATTTTCGCTGAATGATAAAATTCATCAAGAGTGAAAAAGACTAAAAGCCCTCTCATCACCACTGATGAGACAAATCAAAATACTATAATCTTCTTCAATTAACAGAATTTTTAAATATATTTGTGACTAAAATAACCGATAAACCTCACCAGTTCCCTTCAGAATGATTAGTTTCCAGACAGTTTTTTATCGGTTTCTTTAACCAATCTGGTTGACATTTTATTCATCTGTTTGAATGGTTTGCCAGTGTGTTCAGAATTTGTGCAAAATTTTGTCCGTGTACACGCAGTACATTCCATATGCACGTGCTCGATAAAACTCCTTATTTAAGATTCATAAATCGTATTTTTCAGTAGAGAGAAGTTGTGATTGATTCAAAGATATTACACATAACTTACAAGAGTGGATTCAAGGGAACATTTGCAGTACACACGCCATCCAGTATGAACTTTCATCTAACGCTTGCTGCATTATCATTTTTTTTATGTGTACTAGTAATGACACTTTGTACTTCCATGTTAGGTTTCAAAGGTATTGTAGTGTGACTGAGAACAGTGATACTGAAAACAGTAAATTACAGCTAGCGAAAGAATTTATTCATCCGTTTGAATAATTTTGATTAGTCAAACTGTTCAAATGCTCTGTATACCGTTCGTTATCCATGCCTTTTTTCCATTGAAACAGTTTTCCATTTGTGTCTGTTTTGTCTTTCATGGTCACATTTTTCAGCTGTGTTGAGATTCCGGTCAGTGTAAAATGCAGACTGCGGACTGTAGACCAGGGGTTAAATGCAGACCATACACATTGAAAGCTCGGTAAATTCCGGATTTATTTACACAATGAATAATCTGAAGCTGTAAAATTATGACATAAACAATCACAATCATGTTTCTAGTCTTGAAAGGGAAATCGATAGGAAATGATCAAATGAAAACATAAATACAATCAAAGTGTTCACTCACATCTGTCCAAGAATTGGTTACTTTTTGGCATCCAAATACAGAACATCAAAAGGCATATTACATCAAAATTACACCTGTAAATATCAAAATCACTTCTTAAAAGTTAACATGCAGTCTTTTGCAATCATATCAAATGTCACTTGTCAGTCAACGATACAGTGTGTAACTGATACCAGCTTGCTATTTGAAGAAGAATTAAAAATGTTTAGAAAGTCTGCAGTCCTCATTCTGCATTTTGCACCTAGCCTGCATTTTACACTCAGTCTGCATTTTACCCCTGGTCTGCAGTCTGCGATTTACACTGACCGGTTGAGATCTCTGGAGTACTTAGTGTGAAATGCAGTGTGAAAAGGACAATCAAATCAGTGATGGGTGTTGAGGGGTTTTAGCACAATTTTTATAAAGTAAAATTTTTATGCAGCACAAGTTTCAGACTCAACAACGGATGCTGACATCCTTGAAATATCAGCTACATCCACCGGAGAAACTACTCCCTTATCTGGAAACTCCCCGTCAGAGAAACTGACAGCCATTCTTCAATCATGCCACATCCACTGTCCAGATATAACATACCAGTAGCTCTACCTGATCTACCGCTGGATTCGTCAAGCAGCTCGGCTAAACCACTGCCCTAAATGAACTGCACCTGTCTGTTCTTCAAAAGGAAAAACTTAAACTTACCTGGAAATTGACAGTATACTGTTAAAGAAACAGGAATCTTGCTGAGGATTCAAGAGCTGGGATCTAGATCTAATTTATTCTCCTAAGATGCCTTCTTCCTCAATATTGTAAACCATGGCAATCCAGTGAAGTGAATAATTTACGTGTCATTCATTATGTATGTTAACTAAGCCATATTGGGCGATTCCAGAAAATATCCATACTATACCACAGACGGCTTTTACGATTTCCGAAGGGGAGGGGGGGTTCACGATTATGGAATTCTGAGGGCATGGGGGGTATTTACGATTGGAAATTGGAAGGCATGGGGGAATTCCACAGGTGGGATTTCTGGAGTAGAAAGTGTAGAGTGAGTTCCTTGAAAACGCTATTGTTGTGGACTTTTCTGGCTCGTAAATACACCACGAAAGTATGACCGCGGGAACAGAAGACAAGCATCAATAGATCAGACACGTGTTCACGCTCATAACTTATAGAAGTAAACAGTAAAACGTGGGTTTCACATTTATCTTGATGAATTTCTTGTCACATGAATAAAAACTGAAAATGTATCTTACCGCTTGCAAATTTCTTGTTATTCCCGTTCGATGAACAGTAAAAAACTCGCACCAGTCCCTCGCTTCCAAGGAACGCCTGTCAGATTAGAACACTTTTCGTGCACACTACATGGCGCATAAAAGGACGGAACAAGACTCGACGGTATATTTGACCCCTGAAAGATTTTAACAGTCTGAATTTGAGCTATTTTGCTTTGTAAACGTCAAAACAGCACAAGAAAATAAAGAGGAGTAAAATTACCGTAAGTGGTGTTAATTTTTATAGCCAAATTCGACTTAAAAAGGAGTTTGCACAGCCTGGCCACTAGCGGTAGGTTTTTCTTGTCGCTGAACAGTAAAGCTTGTCACCTGGCGCCGCTAGATCACAGCCTTGAGGAGGCATAAATTCATGTTCGTTTGTTCATATAGGCGTTGCTAAGTCAAAAATGTACTTCGAAAAAAAAACGGAAATTCTGATAGGGAGGGGGGGTTCACGATTATGGAATTCTGAGGGCATGGGGGGGAACGCATTTTGGAATTTCCGAAGGCAAGGGGGGGTTAAAACATGGAAGCCGTCCGTGGTTAGGTATGGATATTTTCTGGAATTACCCATTTCCTCATTCTTCAAAGTGGTGGAAATGGAAGTTATTGATTCATCAGTGATAGCAAGTAAAAACTGCCATGGTTTCAATTAAAGGTTTTATAAACCTCTTGAAATATTTTCTGCTGTGTACTCTGACCATATCTTTTATACCCTGATTAGGCAATGATGTTGGCTAGAATGAATGCACGGTATGAATCCACAAAATGGTCCCTTTTGGCATCTTGCCAGCCTTGAAGTTGAAAATTAATCCTATTTATTCTTAGCGTAGTGACTTTATAATCTCATCGCACATGCACAGTCTGCTAACCACACGTAGTCTTAGCCAGCTGCAAAATTCGATGCCCCATGAATAAATCTATGAATATATGCTTGGTGTCTGCCAATGACGTCATGGAGCATTTTGTGTTTTCAGGCAACATAGACTTTGCTGCCTACGACCAAGGCGCATTTTGTTGTGTTTATTCATCGCCTGTGAAACAGTGTTTACCATCCGTGAATCAAACACAATTCCCCATGCAAATGACACAATCACAACAAGTAGCTTCAAATCCTCGTCCAGGAAGATTTCCACCAAAACTCCTCTGGAGCGAGAAAGCCGACTTTAAATTCAGCGTGAACAACAAAGGAGATTAGACATCAACAAGAAACCGCAGAGCACAGAGAACATCGGTTAGCACAGCAAAGGCAATGTCGACAACCAGAGACAGAGGAAAAGAGGAACAGGAGATC